GTTCACAGCGCGCTCGTGAGTCACGGCGTCAACTCGGAGTACTATGCGATACAGGATGGCCCTCCGCTGGGGGCCGCGGCGTCGCGCGCTCGGAGTCCACCGCCCCGCGCTCGGGCGAGGGACGGGCCAGCTCTCGGACCCTGCGTGGCGTCTTGCGTTCAGGGTCCGGAGAGCCGTTCGAGGTCCAGACTACCCTGAACGTGTGCTGGCCATTTTTTTGGGTGTTGCTAGAAGTGCCCCTGGCCCAAGGTACCCCAGGATTTCCAAGGAGGCCTCCACGGTCTCCAGAGCACCCCTCACGAGGCCCTGGCGGCCCAGGGGCTCCAAAATGGAGCGAAAAGCTGGGGGCACCTTGGGCCAGGGCACCTTCAGTAACTTCCGACTTTGCGTGACCATTCGCCAGCTCCCGACATGTCTAGGCTGCACCTGGACTTGGGACTTTGCCCCCCTCTCGAAGCTGCGGAAGGGGGCGCCGTTTCCTCAGCATCGATCCCCCTGCGCCCTTTCTGCCAGCAGTGCTTGACCCTGTGGCCAATCCGTATCTCTCCTGGCAGTCTCTTGGATTCGTTCCTTCTCCTCTTTTTTTGACGTAAAACAGGCATAGATCAGAGATCGTTGCGTTCGGGGTGTGCAGAAAAAGAATACGCCGACTTAGGCAAAGAGCCAACGAATAAAGCCTGGCGGGCGCAGCAGAAAAAGGACAGGCTAAGAGCTGCGAAAGGGGTATAAGAGGCCACGAGGCCACAGAGCATGCGCCCGCCAGGCCGCATAGCGGAGTGGGGAAGGACGACACACCAGTACCTAAAACAACTCCTCGTCCTCCTCCTCCTCCTCCTCCTCCTCCTACTCCTACAACTCCTCCTCCTCCTCCCCCTCCTCCTCCCCTTCCTCCCTCTCCTCCTCCTCCTCCTCCTCCTCCCCCTCCTCCTCCTCTTCCTTCTCCCCCTCCTCCTCCTCTTCCTCCTCCTCCTCGTCCTCCTCCTCCGCCTCCTCCTCCTCGTCCTCCTCCTCCTCCTCCTCCTTGCCCATCGCAGCCTGCCTCCATCGGCCTATGCGTCACACTTCTGCGGCCACGGCCTCTGCGCCCTGGCCTGGTTGTCCTGGGCGGGCTCCCAGGAGGAGCGCGCACGACTCTGGCGTTCTCTTCGCTTCGCCTTCCCCATCGAAGAATCAACAGTTGCATACACGTTCGTTAAGGGGGGGGGCGTTCGTTAAGGAATGTGTCGAGGAGGCTGCAGACCCTGGAGGATTCCTTATCTGATGAGGGCCGCGGTGATATCCATGGCCGATCCACGATTGGAGTTCCACCGGCTTCCAGACCACCCTGGGTTCCTGGGTTCCTTATGTATAGGGGCTCCTTGTCCAATGCCCCCACCGTGCACGTAAGCTTTTTAAGACCCGCGCGGATCTCGGATCGGCGCTGGATCCTTTTTCCCTGGCGCGCGGAGAGCGCGCCGGGGGCGGCGCTGGAGGCGCCGCCAAGGGGAGGCCAGCGCCGGTCCGAGAGATCCGCGCGGAGCTCCCGAAGTTCAAATATGCTTAGACATGCCGTTTTTTTTTGTTTTTTTTTTTTTTTGGGGGGGGGTACAAGACAATTAACAACCCATATACATATGTGGACATCTGATTATTTATTTATTTATTTATTTATTTATTTATTTATTTATCTATTTATTTATTTATTTATTTATTTATTTATTTATTTATTTATTTATTTATTATTTTTTTATATATATATTTTTATATATATGTAAATATATGTAAATATACATATATAATCAGTTCCTGTTTTTTTGTGTTCGTGTTTGTGTATTCGTGCATTTTGTTCTCCTGGGGCCCCACGTCTCGCGGCCCCCATCCTTGACGCCGATGCTCCTGCCGCTTCTGCCGAGCTGACCCCCGGCCCCCCTGCCGGCGCACTGGCGGCGCGCGCGTGCGGGCCTGCACGGCCCGCGCGCGGCCCTCTTCCCCCCCCCCCCGCGCCGGGGGCCCCCCTCTCGGCGCCCTCTCCGCGCCCCGCGCGCGCCTCCCCCGGCCCTCTCGTCGTGTTGCGTCGGGCCTGCCCCTCGACCGGAGGAGTACCCAAACGTAGTCAGCAAAATAGTCTGGGGACGATTTCGGGATCCTCTTTGGAGTATTTTTGGTACTTCTGTGTGAGTATTTTTTGCGGACGAAAAATAGTCAGCACAATAGTCTGGGGACGATTTCGGGATCCTCTTTGGATTTTTTGTTTGGCATTTCTGTGTGAGTATTTTTGTGGGGGTACGTTTCGTTTTTCGTCCAGAGTCCGCCTGCAGGGGGACACGGCCGACCTAACTCTCGTGCCACAATCTGCTACCTGGCGTGCCCAGCCAAGCCGAGTCGTTCCCTGAACCGATCCGTTTAGTGAAGCAGCGGTAGGAGCTTATGCTCACACAGGTCGCAGTAGTAGTAGTAGTAGTAGTAGTAGTAGTAGTAGTAGTAGTAGTAGTAGTAGTAGTAGTAGTGGTAGTGGTAGTGGTGGTATTATTATTATTATTAGTAGTAGTAGTAGTAGTAGTAGTAGTAGTAGTAGTAGTAGTAGTAGTAGTAGTAGTAGTAGTAGTAGTAGTAGTAGTAGTGGTAGTAGTAGTAGTAGTAGTAGTAGTAGTAGTAGTAGTCGTAGTAGTAGTAATAGTAGTAAACATAGTCACATCTGCAGTGTGCACGGTACTGTTCAGTTCCCTTGTTGTGCGCACAGTGCGCTCTTGCTTTGTCAGTTATGTTCTACACGCCACGTTGTGTGGCCTCCCTGCCTTGTGCATGTGATGCTTTCGCCATGTCACACTTGTGATGCTCTTGATCTCTGTCTTGGGCTGCTCCCGCAACCCACTTGGGCTGAGCCTCCATGCCACCAATAGCACCTGTTCGAGGCCACTGGCTAAAGAGGCGTCAAGAGGCGTTAAAGATCGGGGCCGCCCCGCGGGTCCTGGGGCCGTCGGCGGCCCGCCGTCCGCTTTGTCGCCCGCCCGCGACGTGGTTTCCTCGCCCCCCTCTCCCATCTCCTGCCCGTCCAGGTCCCGAACGGGGGTCAGGCCGTTTTCCGCCTGCACAAGGATCGGTTCCCACGCACCTGGAGCCGTTGGTTTCAGCCTTTAGTCTTCTTGTTTTACCTTTGTCCCGCCTTGGCAGTCGGCCGCGCCATTTTGGTTCGGTGTACAGCCTCTCCCCCTCCCCTCTCGTCCTCGGCAGCTGTTTGGCTCGTGAGGCCTTCTCGCACATTCTCTCGAGCTGTACCTCCCGTGCCATCCACCCGACCAAGTGATGGCGCCCAAGTTCTCGAAGCCTGCGCCGATGCCTTGGCCTGCCAAGACGTACGCCGCAGGAGACGCGCCAACTTCCAAAACAAGGCCGACGCAGCGCCCTGCCCAGCAGGCAAGCGCGTCGGAGAGCGAAGACGAGGAGTTCGACGTGATGTCCGAGGCGGCGACCTTTCGGACGGCGCCGACAGTGCCCACGGGGTCAGCGACCCCCGCCGAGGACGCCGACGGAGGCGGCGGTGCGGGGGCCGCCCCCAGTGCCGCCACCTCTGATGGCGCCTCGGCGATGCCCACATCGGCGGTGGTGCCAGTGACGGCGGCCGCCCTGGCAGCGGCAGCCACGTATGCCAACTTCGCCACAGAGCAGCGCCGTGGGCTGGACGCGATCGCCCTCGCGCTCCACAACCTCCAGCTGAGGGGGCAGGCTGTGGGCGGCCGCGGCGGCCGAGGCGCGCGCAGCGCCGCCGACGGCGGTCGCGCCGAGGACGACGGGGCCGCCAGTGAGGCCCCGAGTGCTGCGACCACGGGTGCCCTCAGCGGTCATGGGGGCAAGCGCCACCGCCGACGCAGCGACGAAGCCGTCTACGGCCAGGCCCCCCAGTCGAGCGACGGCATACCTGCTGCGCTCGAAGACGCAGAGATGATGGCGGAGGAGGACTACGCTGCGGCGGGCTACGTCCACTGCATGGGTGCGTGCTGGGTCCCGCCGCGTCGCCTGGGCTGGTGTCGGAGGTGCACGGAGCTGGACGACTGGAAGATCATGGCGGTGGAGTACGTGGACGAGCTCAGTTGTGGGGAGATGCGCCGCTATGCGGAGGCCAAAGAGTACAATCGGCAATGCCCCGAGCTGAGGGCGGGCAAAGAGGGACAGTGCAAGCTGTACATGTGCTCGCGCTGCGTGGCGGCGACGCAGAACATCTCCGAGCACGAGGCTGTGACGCGCGCAGCGCGCGCGAACAAGGGCCCAGGCTCCATCGACCACGCTGCTAAGCGAGTGGCGAAGTTCCGTGCGAGCTTCGGCTACATCAAGGAGGGCATGGACGTGCTGGTAGGATTCGCGCTCTCAGAGGAAGGCTTGCCTGCCCCGCGGAGGTCAGCGGAGGGCGTGGGGGTGGGCGTCGACCCCGAGAGCACGGGCGCCCCCCCCAGCCACGGAAGCAGTGGCGATGGAGGTGGGCCGCCCGATGGCGAGGGAGGTGGGGTGGTGCCAGGGCCGCCCCGTGCGCCACCCCCGCCCCTGGCGTCTTCAAATTCGAGACCATTCGCGCCCGCATGCTGGGCGGCCTGGGGCCCATCCTGGAGAAGAATGATGATATGGTGAGGGGCGCAGCGGCGCAGGACGGAGTCCAGAAGTGGCTCGACGCGCTGAGTAAGGAGGCGGAGGAGGATGTGGGAAGGCTGGAGAAGGGCGCCCTGGAAGCCGCGGGGATCGCAGACGCCCACCTGGGACACAAACGTGCCTGGAGGGAGGAGTGCCAGGGCAACGCCGCGGCGCAGGAGGCCTACCGCCGCATGGGCGACTACACGGACCAGTTCTACCGTGGCAAGGGCTTCACGTTCAACATGTACTACAAGTGCTCGGCCAACAAGACCTGGGACAATCCCAGGGGATGCTGCTTGGTGATCCGATCGGATCGCTGGTCACAGCTGCTCTCATGCGCACCGGAGGCGGCGGGGGAGACGGGCCAGCGCTGGTACTGCCACTGCGGTGCGCGCTACTCGACCTCCTACGGAGTCTGCATCGAGTTCATAGAGGAAGAGTCGAACCCGCCATGCGCGTACTACATGCACGCGGAACACCCAGAGGAGGACATCCGTGACTTGAAGGCCCTGCTGCGCTACGACAAGCTCAAGAAGGAGGGGATTTCAGTGGTCAACGCGGTGGACCTCCTGAGGTACCTGCCCAAGGTCGAGCCGCTGGCGGTGGGCGCCGTCTTCAAGCGCTACGCTCCACACCAGCCACAGTGGGGGGGCCACTATGTGCTGATGGAGGGGCTCACCTGGGAGAGCCTGACCAAGTTCGAGTGGGCCGACCTCTACGCGCAAGTCGCCTGGGGACTGACCCAGAGTGGGCGGGCTACAGTCAGAAGGCGCGGAACAAGGCCAAGAGGGAGCGCCTGGAGATGGCGCGCAGGGAGCTGGCGCTCTACGAGCGCCGCCACAACCTGCGGGAGGGCAGCTTCTCGGGCGACGGGGGTGGTACAGGGGTCGCCCCGCGTGCCACCCCCGTCCGCGCCGCCGGCGCCCCCCCCGCGGGTGGGGCCCGCGACAGCCAGGACCCGCCACCACCGCCTGTCGGAGTCCCGCCAGAGGCCGCGGCCATCATGGCCCCTCCGCCGCCGCCGCCGACGGACCCGCCACCGCAGACGGACCCGCTCCCGCAGCAGATCCCAAATGCTGCAGCCCTGAACGTGGCCCTCGGTGAGGACCTCGAGCGCCAGATCTTTGGGCCCTCAGGGCAGGCGGGTGGCAGTGGCGACCTCGGTGAGGAAGTGCAGGCGCTGCCGTCGCAGGTCTTCGCGGCCATTGCGCAGGGGGCAGGCCAGCCTGCCTGAACGATGAAGCCCAGCAGGTACCAGGCCCTCGACAGGCCGCGTGAGTCCATGCCAAGATGTCTTGCTTGCCACTCTCAGTAGTGCGGCGTGCCCACAGTGGCACCCCCCTCGCATGGCTGCACCTGTGGCTTTAGCCTCTGCTCGGCGCATGGTCACCTGTGCGCCTAGCCACTCTGGCCCGCCAACTGGCTTGCCATCTCGGCCTCTTCTCACGCGCAGGCCTCGCTGGCGGTGCTGGGGCAGCCCCGTGTGCTGCCGCGTCGCCGTCGGGCGCCTGGCCATTTTGGCTTGCCATCCTGGCCTCCTCCCGCGCCATCTTGCGCTAGTGGGCCTTGATGGCGGTACTGGGGTCGCCCCTGTGTGCTGCTATGCCGCTGCCAGCGCCTCACTTTTGGCTGTGGGGGCCAACTGCCCTTGGCCAGGCGCCTGCGGCTGCGTGCACGTCAGACCCGCCTTTGTCTTGCCATCCTGGCCTCGTCTCGCGTCTTCTCGTGCTAGTTGGCCTGGGTGGCGGTACTGGGGTCGCCCCGTGTGCTGCTGTACCGTTGCTGGCGCTTCACTTTGGGCCGTTGGGACCAGCTGCCCACAGGACAAGCGCCTGACGCTGCAAGCATGTCAGACCCGCCCTTTCACCCAGAAGAGGTGCCCGCTACATACTGGCAATGAGGCAGCCACAAGGACGCTCTTCCCTAGGTGGTTGAGCCGTGGTGATGTGGTGCACGAGACCGCCAGTAGTAGTAGTAGTAGTAGTAGTAGTAGTAGTAGTAGTAGTAGTAGTCGTAGTCGTAGTCGTAGTCGTAGTAGTCGTAGTAGTCGTAGTAGTAGTAGTAGTAGTAGTAGTAGTAGTAGTAGTAGTAGTAGTAGTAGTAGTAGTAGTAGTAGTAGTAGTAGTAGTAGTAGTAGTAGTAGTAGTAGTAGTAGTAGTAGTAGTAGTAGTAGTAGTAGTAGGTAGTAGTAGTGTAGGTAGGTAGGTAGTAGTAGTAGTAGTAGTAGTGGTAGTGGTAGTAGGTAGTAGTAGTAGTAGTGGTAGTAGGTAGTAGGTAAGTGGTAGTAGTAGTAGTAGTAGTAGTAGTAGTAGTAGTAGTAGTAGTAGTAGTAGTAGTAGTAGTAGTAGTAGTAGTAGTAGTAGTAGTAGTAGTAGTAGTAGTAGTAGTAGTAGTAGTGCCCAGCCCGAGCCCGAGCGCCGCTGGGTGCCCCTGCGGCCGCCGGCCGAGCATGTTTATGCCGTGCTCTCTCCCTCCGCCTCGGCCGCCGCGGCCTGCTCTCCTCGGCCCTCGGCTCCCCCGTCTGCCGTGCGCCGCCCCGCCCGCGGCGCAGTGGTTCCTGACCCTGTTCGCGAGCGACCTCCAGCAGCACGTGGTGAGGCGGGTGTGGGACAGGACCGCCCCTCCGGTTCGGGCGGGCGGGGGGGGGGGTCGACAGCCGCCAGCCCCAGAACCCGCACAGCGGGGCAGCAGAGCCTTTGCGAGAAGCCTGCGAGAGGCCCGCGAAAGGCCTGCGACGGAGCTCTAGAAGCTTTGGGAAGGAGCTTTTAGAAACCCGTGCAGCACACGTATTGGGAAAAACACTTCGAGAAACGCTTCCGGGACACTCTGCAAGGCCGGACAGAAGGCGCCGTGACGCTGGAGAACTGAAGCCGGAACGATCTCCGAGGCCACTTTTGCCAGCTGGCTTCTAATCTGAAGCCCTTTGAGCTCTCCAATCGGTGGCTGCCAGAAGGGTTCGTTGGACAAGGTTGGTTTCGCTGGACTCGAGGTCCCCCCAGCCCGACCTTGCTGTGTCGTCGACGTCGCCGATGCATCGCCGACGCATCGGGGATGCAGTGGCATTGGCGAGGCGGCGCGATCCTCGGACCTCATCTACTCGGACCCCGTGCGGAAGGATAGCGTGCAATGTGCTGCCGCCGGCCGGCCCGCTAACTACACGCCATCCCCCCCTTTGGGATAGCGTGCGCCGAAGGCGCCCTGGCAGAGGGATAGCTCGCACAGAGGGGGCCCTCGTCCCTAAGGGCTCGACGACTTTTCGCCAATCGACTCTTGGGGGATCGAGCCGGGTAGATGCGGGCAGATGCGGATAAACCGAGGTAGTTCGGAAATCCGAGTAAACCCAGGTAATTCCAGGTCAACCTCCTCCTCCTCCCTCCTCTTCCTCCTCCTCCTCAGCCTCCTCCTCTTCCTCCACCTCCTCCTCCTCCTCCTCCTCTCCTTTTTATCCAGAGCTCTCCAGGTCTCCAGGGAAGGCTGCAGCAAGTCTTGGCCGCTCCAGCGCGAATCGAGGGGCGGCAGACGTCGTTAAGCCCCTACAGCGACCTCCCGGGGGGGATCGCCTCACAGGGTCAGGGTCAAGTCGGGCGTGTCCCTCTACAGGGGGAATATTTCCCAAATAGTCAAACAATAGTCTGGGGATGATTTTTTGAGAATTTTCGACTACGTCTGAATCTTTCTTGACCATTTTTTATTTCTCGTCCAAAATCCGCCTGTAGGGGGACACGCCCGACGTAAGGTCAGCGTGCTTTCCGGAGATCGATGCTGCGCGCTGCTTTTCCAGCGCCAGCCGTGCACGTTCCCTCCCTCGGCGGCGGGCCGAGGGAGGGGGGAGTGAGGAGGACAAGGCTCAGGAGGGGAGGAAACACACAGACACAATTAAGCGTCGACTCCCAGGAAAATATGGGAAAATATGGGAAGTGGGGGGGAAGACAAAAACCCAGAGAATATGGGAAAATATGGGGAATCCTGTTATTTGTGTGTATTTATTTGTGTTTGTGGGCCCCTTCAAAGGCCTTCTCAGAAGGCAGCGGGACTTCACAGAAGCCCTCGCGCCTTCCGAGAAGCTCTCCGTGTCTTCGGGGAAGGCCGAGAACAAATGCTTTCGGAAGGCTGGGGGACGTCCGAGCCTTCCGAGGCAGGATGGACCCGAAATAGATATGAACCTGGGATATGAATAGGATAAACCGGGGAATATTATCTGGGGCTCGTAATCTCCCCCCCAGGAACAGTGTAAACCTGGGCTTATCATGCCACCGTAAGCTCGTAAGCTCCAGACCCCCAAGACAATGAATTGGGTTTATTATGTTGGAATGATACTAATCATTATTTTTCCCCCCATCCCTCTGTCACCAGGGGGAGAATTATTATGTTCGAATATGGACCCTAGCTTCTTATGCTCAGGACAGTGTAAAATTGGGTTGATTATTTCGGGATGATAATAGTTGAGCCGGGGGGGGTCGACTTGGTTTACTATTTCTTACCGGGACATTATAAGCTGGGGTTTATTATTCCGGAGTGGTAATTCTCGAGCCAGGGGGGCGCCGATTTGGTGTATTGTTTCTTCTTTTCCTTCGAATTTCCCCCCAAACCCAGGCGCCTCGCAGGGAGAACATCAGCCACGGATTATCTTTCTGGAGTAGTGAACCTGGTTTTCATGTTGGAAAGATACTAGTGCAGCTGGGGGGAGGATGCTCGACAACTCCGCCATAAGATAATGAAGCGAGGTTCATCATCTCAACCTCATGAACCTTGGTTTATTTTTCCTAGATAGTCAACCACGGTCGACGAGGATTTCGCACTCACCCTCCAGGCGAGGAGGGCCGCCCCTTCCCCTTTCCCGCCCGTACTCGTCGCCGATTCTGGCCTCCCCGCGTCTCGGAGGCGACGATGAGGCGAATAGCCCAGGGGAGAGCAATAGTCGAGGAGGGGATCGACTACAGAATTGATGTACCCCAAATTGATTTTTCGTTGAATATTTTAACGAATGCGTTGAAGGATCTACGGAGCATCCTATATTTTTTTCGTCGACTCGGCGAAGACATCAATTTTGCGGTAAAGGGGAGCCGACGATCTGTGCCTTCGACAAGGCTCCTGGGCGAGCGCGAATCATGCCCGCCCCCGGGCTGCTCGCCCTTGTATCGTTCGGGGGTGGACAGACCTCCTACCCTGACACGTCGATTAGTGAATTGTCCGTTTTCGGTTCTCGAGAGGGCGCCGCGGTCGTCATTTTCCAGGTTTGCACCCGCCAGGTTGGGGCCCGAGGTCGTTTTCACTAAACCACGTTTTACTAAAGGGAGGTCTGTCCATCCCCGAGTATCGTCGCCGGCCGAGCGTCTGCCCGCGCCAGGTTCCTCGTCGCCGGCTGGAGGATCGTCGTCCAGGCGGGCGCCGCGCTCTCTCTGCGGGTCTTCCTGCCGCCGTGGCCGCCCCGACCGAGGGGCCTGCCATGCCATCACGAGCGCCAGAGGCAGGGCGAGAGAGGGGGGAGGAGGAGGAGGAGGAGGAGGGGAGGAGGAGGAGGAGGAGGAGGGAGGAGGAGGAGGAGGAGGAGGAGGGGAGGAGGAGGAGGAGGAGGAGGAGGAGGAGGAGGAGGAGGAGGAGGAGGAGGAGGAGAGGAGGAGGAGGAGGAGGAGGAGGAGGGAGGAGGGGAGGGAGGGGGGGGGGGGGGGGGGGGGGGAGGGGAGGGGGGGAGGGGAGGAGGAGGAGGAGGAGGAGGAGGAGGAGGAGGAGGAGGAGGAGGAGGAGGAGGAGGAGAGGAGGAGGAGGAGCAGGAGGATGAGAGGCAGGAGGAGGAGGAGCAGGAGGAGGAGGAGGAGGAGGAGGCCCAGTGGAAACCCAGGAGTCCTCAACGATGTTGGAATACTCTCTCCCTCCAAGCTCCCTCTCCACAGGCCCCTACAACGGTTCATTTCCACTGAGGGAACTGCCTCCTTGGAAGACAACCGTTTGAAGAGCCTGAAGCGTGCCAAAACATTATTCTCGGGACTCCAACGCCAGGTATCAACTTGACTGTTGCGTCTTGGCGATCCTGAATCGTGCCAGAGGGCCATTCCTGGGACTTCAACACCGCGAAACAACGTAACTGTCGCACCCTGATAATCCGGAGTCCTTCCAAAACGCCATTTCTGGTACGTTGACCATGCGAATCCGTGAATCTTACAATTTTTGTAGAAAGTAAAGTGCGCGGCGCTAAGGCGGGAGCTACATTTTGAAAAGGAGCCGCCCTCAATATTTGAACACATGTTTTAAACAAAATTGTTGTTTCCTATCTTTTTTATATACATACATGTGTATACATACATGTTTATTTTATATCTATATATGCGTGTATCAAAACATATTTTCTTTAAGCTAACAAGAACCAGCAATTAGACAACGAATGTGCGCGGCATTAAGGCGAGAGCCACACTTTGATCAGGAGCCACCCTCAATCCGTGGAAGTCTTGCAAACAACGACTGTGCGCGGCATTCAGGCGAGAGTCACACTTTGAAAAGGAGCCACCCTCAATCCTTGAAGCTCTAGCAACTTTCTGAAAACGAGTGTGCGCGGCGCTAAGGCGAGAGCCACATTTTGTAAACGACCCGCCCTCAATCCGTGAAGCTCTAGCAAATTTTTAAAACGAGTGTGCGCGGCGCTAAGGCGAGAGCCACATGTTGAAACCGACCCGCCCTCACTCCGTGAAGCTCTAGCACATTTTACAGACGAGTGTGCGTGGCGCTAAGGCGAGAGCTACATTTTGGAACCGACCCGCCCTCCATCTGTGAAGATGTTGCCAATTTTATAGTTTCAGGATCATAAGTGGTGAGGAAGTCTCATGGGAAACGCTTGGCCCGCCCTTTCGACCGGCCTCGGGGTGCGACAGGGAAGGGAGAAGCTGTTTATAAGGAGAAGGAGAGGAGGCGGAGGAGGAGGAGGAGGAGGACCTTCCCGTCCTCCCCTCTCCCCGTCCTATCTGTGGTGAAATGGTGGTGGTGGTGGTGGTGGTGGTGGTGGTGGTGGTGGTGGAAAGATTGCCCATGACCGACAGAAGACCCCGGGGCGGCGCGCGGGGATGCTCCCGTTTTGGAGCTGGCCGGGGGGCCTGAGGTGGCCCAGCGGTGGCTCTGGCGAGCGGGAAGGCGCCGGGGGCGAGGTTCGAGGCTCTGGGTACGAGGAGGTTTTCTGCCTTGCTCGGTCTTTGGGTCCGCTTTCGGGCCCCGGGGGCCGTCAACGGCCCAACCTTACGCCCTGCACTCGCCCACCCAGCCACCCCGCACATACTTTTTGGGAGTCAGCGGCGCAGAGGGTCCTCAGGCGCGGACAGCACATGAGTGCCGATTGCGATCGAGCATTGTCGAAGGCACAGTGCGCAAACCGTGCACACTGTCAAATGCAGCGATGGGTGGTGTGGAGGAAAAGCCGTAAATCCAAGCGAATCGTGCAGCGGCCAGAAAACCGAGGAGGCGACTAAACTCATGGTGAACTGAAGCGCGAGCAGTCTGGTACGAATTGGTGGTCACTGAATCACCATGGAGGGTGTTAGACAACGAAGCGCGAGAAATAATTAAAAGAGCCTTACCGGCTGCCAGGCCAGCAGGACAGAGTGCAGCAAAGACTCACCACGGAAAGCCAGCCCTAAATGCTGCCATTGAGACACCAGAAGGTGTAAACCAAGACCCGCGAAGAAGTGCGCTGCTGAGCAGATTGGTTGTGTTCGCAGTCGTGCGAGCAGATGGTAAGGTGTGGACCCACGATCCCGAATCGACCGTGATGCGGGCGAAACGGGGCGACGACGCGGCCACGCCAACCGCAGGGGAATCAAGGGACGCTGCACCACAGACGCGTCCACTGCAAAACGCACCGCAGAAGAGGGGCGTGAGAGGCAAGCGCTGTACGCACAGCCTGCCAGCAACATAGCCGCTGTCACATCATAAAGACGGTAAGGACGGACAGAGATCCAGAGTGCAGCTGCACAGGCACGCGAGCGCGGCGAAGAACCGCCTGGCCACGACCCGCCGCCACAACAAGCCTGGGAAGGGAGGACAAAGGCGCGACGAGTCGCGCGGCTGCGTGACCACAGCAAGGTCGTGGGGCGAGCTATCCGCCCACGGCATGCGCACGGCGATTACCCGCCAGGATGCACCACCCACCAAACCACCCCAACCCAACCCGAAGGCTCAGATTTACCCTCGATTTCCAGTGGGGGGGGGGGCGGGGAACATCAAAAAATACATGTGGAACCCTTACCCCCCCAACCCGAAATTCGGGTCTTCGGGTTGGGTTGGGGTGGTCTGGTAGGTAGTCAAGGATAGCCAGGCAGCCCGACCAGCCACCAGGATGGCACGCTCGCAGCAGCGCCGCGACGCACGCCCAGCGACGATCCACGAGGCAGCCGGCCAGCCAGACGCTAGCAAGGGCTGCTGCGCGAGCGGCAGCCGCAGCCCACCACAGCGCGAGCCCGCGGGAGGCGCAGCGCCCCCGCGCCCCGCGCGCGCCAGCCCCATGCCCAGGGCCCCCCGCATCGCGGCCAGCCAGACGGCCCCCAAAAAGAACTCGGCCCATCACTCGGCTCCCAGGTGGCTGCTCGGGGCGCTCCGGGCACCCCCGGGGACGCCCTTGGCGAGGCGCAGCTGCCGAGGGGCACCCCGAGGCCGCAGAACCGCCGAGAGCTGACGGCGGCGCCCGAAAACCTCGAACCTCGAACTTGTGCCTTCCCCCCCTCGCCCGCCGCCGATCAACGGCGACACACCGATGAAGTCCTCCGACCGGTGCTGCCCCTGCTCTCCGACCAGCCCTGGGGGGGCCCAACGCGCGGTGCGGTGACAGACCGTGCGGTGACCTCAAGGCCCCGAGGGTCTCTCGAGACCTTGAGGTCCCGAGAGACCTCGAGACTTAAGTCGGGCCTGTCCCCCTACAGGGGGATTTTCGACGAAAACTAAAAAGTGCCCCCCAAATAGTCACTATTTTTTGACCCTTTGGGTTTTTTTTTTGGTACTTTTAGTTCTTCGTCGTAAATCCCCCAGTAGGGGGACGGCCCGACTTGGCTCGAGACCTCTAGGTCCCGACGAGACCAGCCGGTGCGCAGGTGGGCCTGGCCCTGGGGGGGCCCAACACGCGGCGCGGTGACAGACCGTGCGGTGACCTCAGGGCCCCGAGAGTCTCTCGAACTTCCCCCCCCGGGCTCGCCGCCGACGAGACCCGCCGGTGCGCAGGTGGGCCTGGCCCTGCTGTACACGGTGCAGGCCGCTGCCGCCGCGCGTGCGCGGCCGGCCGTGCCTTGGGCCGGCCTGGTGGGGCGCCGCCGAGCGCAGGGCCGCCGCGAGGCCCGAGGCTGCAGGCGGGTGTCGCTCGCCCTCGAGGTCCTCCCAGAGCCAGAGGAGGTTCTCCCAGGGAGGTTCTCCTCGAGGTTTCCCCTCCTCCGCCTCCTCCTCCTCCCCCTCCCCCTCCTCCTCCTCCTCCTCCTCCTCTTCCTCCTCCTCCTCCTCCTCCTACTCCTCCTCCTCCTCCTCCTCCTCCTCTTTCTCCTCCTACTCAGTCTCCTACTCAGTCTCCTACTCAGTCTCCTCCTGCTTCTCCCCCGAGGTGTCCCCAAACGGGGGTCTCGTTTTTGCCAGTGGTATCCATCCCCCTGCAGGGCCCCAAACATTATCGGGTCCCTTAAGCGGTTCTCGAACACCTGATCCGTTCTTGTTCTCCTGAGGGCCCTCTGGGTGCGCTCTTCCGAGGCTCTGGCACTGCATCGGATCATTGGTGCTGCTCTGCTCTGCTATGCTCTGCTCCGCCTCCTCCTCCTCCTCCTCCTCCTCCTCCTCCTCCTCCTCCTCCTCCCCTGGGACCAGTTTTCCATCCCGAGTCGTTTGTTGACGGTCCCGAGGCCCAGCAAGGGCCCCGAGAGGCCGAAGACGACGAAACACGTCTGTCTCGATGTTCTCGAGACGCCAGGATCTCAGGGAACAAAATGGTCAGCCAGAGGGCTTCTTAAAAGTACCCCTGCTTCATAGAAGGCGCGGGCCTTACTGTCAACCCGCATAGTAAGGATGAGCGACTTTCCAAGGTTACCCTTGCATCCTTCGCCCTCGGCCCATCCTTGGCCGATTTCGCTGGCCGCGCCCCGCCCGCAAAGTGTCGGCATGGCCTTCAAGGCCCTTGCATCCTCATCGTGCGTCCTTAACTATTCTACGGGCCAGCGTCGTCTAAGGGGCAGCGTCCCCCGTCACTCCGCCCCGTTGTGCGCGCCGCCAGGCTTTCTTCCAATGCCAGAGGCAGGGTGACGAGAGGTGCTCACGCTTGGGAGCCGGCGTTTTTTTTTTTTTGTGCGGGTGCCGTCGCTGGTCTGCGCACGCCCGAGTTATCCATGCCAGACTTCGTAGCAGAAGGGGGGGTGTCACAGCCCTCCCAGAGTCCGAGAGTGTTCAAGACCTCACCATTTGAGGCGGATTTAAATCACGATTTGAAGTCATGCTTTATTTCATTACAGTTCCAGCCTTGCTGGTGCGAGTCCTTGTTGATGTCAACAAAAAAAACAGCCCTCCCAGACGAGCAGTTTTAGACCCCCCCAGACCAGCACCCCCCGTTTTAGGGTGTCATCTGGACTGTTTGCTTCTGTTCCTGGTCTTCCCCGCCCCTCTTCCTCCCGGCCTCGCCTGTGTTCGTCGACTGGCTCCCCTCTGTTAATTAAAGCTGTGCGCGGCCCGCTTCGCTTCGACCGGAAGAGGTGCGCTCTCGACCCGTGGATCAACAAAAATGTATTCGTCGACTGTGCATCTCGGCGGCCGTCATGCCGTCCTCTGCCTCACGCTGTGGCGCAGCTCCGCTGTGGTGTCGTGCAGTGGTGGAGCTAGAATTGGTCTGTTGCTTTGTGGAGGGGGAACGCAAATCACACTTGGGAGCCGGCTTGGGGGGCTGAGGTGGCCCAGCACCGGTTGCGGCCGGCAGAGAAGGGGTGAACGGGGCTCCGCCGTCGCCACGGCTGGGCGCCGCTCGAAGATTTTGCCTGGGTCGACTCTGGGAAGGGTTCGGGGACGGATTTTGAGCGGATTTGCCGTCGTCCCCCCCTCCTGACCGATTGTCTCGGCCTGATGGTGTCTGACCCTCGAGGCTTTCCCAGGGGCAGGGAGATGTGCTCACGATGTCTTCGGTAGCAAGTCGCGGGAGCATCGTACGTCCTCGTACTCCAATGGCCTTCGGCCCATTCCGCCGCCGTGCCTGGGTTGTGGATGCGAAGCCCAGTGGATGTTCGTTGGGATCTCGTGGGAGGCCTCTCGGGGGCCTCGTGGAGGCAGTTTGGAGGTCTTTTGGGGGCCGTTTCGGGGCCTCTTGGGTTCTCTTTTTGGCCTCTTTGAGGTCTCTTGGGGCCTTCTGGGGTCGACTACACATAAGAGTGACCCTTCGCCCGAGTGACCTTTGGTGCGGGCTCATCGGGGTCCCCCCGATCGCTGAGCGCGATGCGATAGCGGCTGATTGCGCGCTTGGATTTGGCCACTTTGCGCCACTTGAGTCCGCGTGCCAAAGGTCACTCTTGCATGGAGCCGATGGGGTCCTCTTGGGGGCCTCTTGGGGCCTCCTGGGTGCTTTTTGGGGCCTCCGGGGGGCCTCTTATGGCCGAAGGCTCGGATTTTCGGTTCGTGCTCCCTCTCTTGAGCCCTTTTTGGGGCCGTCTTGGGGCCCTCTTGGGCTGTCTTGGGCGCCATTGGGGCCGTCTTGGTGCCTTCTTTGAATGGGGGCCATCTTGGGGGTGTCTTGGGCCGTCTTCGGGAGGTCTTGGGGGCCTCTTGGACCGTCTTCGAGCGTCGGAAAGCCGAAAAGGCGAGAACGCCGAAGTCCTTGGAGCACCCACGACAAAGTTAATGATTTTGGCTTCTTGGGGCCCTCTTGGCAGGCCCCTTTGAGGCCTCTTGGGTCGTCTTGGAGGCCTCTTGGGCCGTTAGGGGGCCATCTTGGGCGTCTTGGGCCGATCTTTCGGCGACTCGGGGCCCTCTTGGGCCGTCTTCGGGGCCTCTTGGGGCCCTCTTGGCCCGTCTTGGGGCCCTCCTGGGCCCGACAAATTCATGCGTCACCACACGGCAAAGCCCAGGGGGCTCGCGACAAGCCCCAAGAGATTTCGGAATTTAGGGTCCAGTTCCTTTAAACATTCCTCAGGACTGAGGATTGAAGTCCCAGGGAGTAGGCAAAGGACATGGGGACACGACCACTCCGTGCCCAGAGGCACGGTGGCGGATGATGGGAAGCGTCTCTGGCGTGGACCGCTTATTCTCCAACAACATATCATGTACTTTTCTACCTAAAGGACACGGGATCCACTTGGGACCTCGCCGGCGGATGACGGGAAGCGACTTCGAGGTACGAGAAGCGAGCTGGACGTACTGGCTGGATATTTGCAAGATATTATCGAAGATTCGCGCGCGCCGCGAAAAATAGGGTGGCGGGCTGCACTTGGCTATTCGTTGGCGGATTTCCAGCATGAGTGTGTCGTTTGAGGCATCCTCACAAAACGGAGATATTCGCAACCTCGTCTTTCACCAAAACAAGCGTTCCGCCTCAGACATCCTCCAAATTATGAGGGCGAGGATTTTCGATGTGCATAAAACATGAGCGTTTCGTCTGATGCATTCTCGAAGCAGTAAGATGTCGACAGAGGTGTTTTAGTGCCTCTTATGTTTAAACAGCGTTTTGGCTAGGGACATCTTCAGATAATTAGCAGGAGCACCGCAGACCAACACGACCAGCACGGCAGACTCGGCCCCGTTTCGCTGGGGACACCTTCAACAAGACGATATGGTCTCAACATCGTCTTGCTATCGTGTGAATTGCTCCAATATGAAGAAACGAGAGCCCCCAAAGGACCCCACGACCCCAAGATGTTTCTAAGAGCGCCCTGCAGACTGCCGAATATGGCGATTTCGCTAGTGATATCCTCACCAACAATGACAAACACGATGCCATCGTTTTGAATCATGCTGGTCTAACATCGTCTTGGAATCGCTCTTGAAAAGGCTTCAAGACAGCCCAAATCGGGTTTCTCTAAAAATGACGATTTCGCTAGGGACATCCCCCAAAAAGAGGTGTGTCCAGCATGAGGGAAGGGGGGGGGCTTCTGGGGGCCAGAACGTGGCGTTCCTCGTGGCAGTGGCTTGACCGTATGGGGTGGGACCCTGGACGCCGCTCTCCCCAGCACAAAGTACAGCGGAGGCCCATGCCAAGAGACACCCTGCTTTCCACCAGGGTGCCCTGGATTTCTTGGGTTTCGATGGTTCTGCGATGTATAGCATGACGTTCCCACAACAAAATCAACGGACGCCCTGGTTTCTCAGGGTTGGGCCTCGTGGAAGGTTTCTTGTGGACTGGCCCCTGGTGTACCGCACCGCGGGCATCAAACCACAGAGCGCTACCCCGACGCAAGTCGCCGAGGTCCTCGCATCCAGCCGGTGGCACTGCGAAGTCCAACACATTTTTGGCGGGGACAGAGCGACCAGGGGTGCTTTCGGCCTGGCACTCCCTCCCGCCAGTGTGTCGCCCGCAGGACTCTCGCCAGCCGCCCGGCGTCGCTGGCGTTTTCGGCTCCGGGCCGCACTCACACGGCAGGGCCTCGGGGGCTTCAGGCTCTCGGTAGCGCGTGGCTTCGGGCTTCCGGCAGCTCGTTCTCATGCTGAGCTACCGGCGCCAGGCTTACACGCGTTGAGCACACGTCGTCGTCTTTCTGGCTGGTGCTGGTAATGGAGTGGGCCTGGAATGTGCCACACCAGAGGCAGCGAATAGCGAGGAGTCTCAGAGGCAGCGAATAGCGAGGAGTCTCTTTCTTGTTCGAGCGGCTTCTCTGCTGCTGTCATGCATGTGCTGACGCGATCATGCCTCCCACCGCCCTGCAGCTCGGAGAGAGCCAGGATATCCTGCCCACCTTGGACACCTGCCGCGCGTTGACGTTCTTGAAGAGATTCACGCACGAGAGAAGTTACGACGCACGCCCCGCCATGAGTAAGGAGGATGATGAGGAGAAGGAGGGACTGAAGGGGGAGCTGGACTGAAGGAGGAGAAGGAAGAGGTGGAAGAAGGGGAGGGGTAAGGGTATTTGGTTGATGGTGGTTGTGATGGTGGTGATTATGATGGTGATGGTGATGGTGATGGTGATGGTGATGGTGATAGTGATGACGACGATGATGATGATGCTGATGATGACGACGATGATGATGATGCTGGTGACGATGCCGATGTCGATGCCGATGCCGATGCCGACGACGATGACGACGATGACGATGACGCTGATGATCATGGTGATGATGATGCTGCTGGTGATGGTGGTGATTATGATGGTGATGATGATGGTGATGGTGATGGTGATGGTGGTGATAATGATGATGATGATGATGCTGATGGTGATGGTGATGGTGATGCTGATGCTGATGATGATGCTGACGATGCTGATGATGATGCTGATGATGATGCTGATGATGCTGATGATGATGACGATTATGCTGATGATGGTGAGACTGCTGATAATGAACATGATGAATGATTATCATACTGATGATGCTGCTGATGCTGATGATGATAACAAGGATGGTGCTGATGATGCTGCTGATGCTGATGCTGATGCTAATGATGCTGATGATGATTCTGATGCTGATGATGATGCTGATGATGATGCTGCTGATTATGATGCTGCTGCTGCTGATGATACTGATGCTGAAGATTCTGATGATGCTGATGATGATGATGCTGATGATGGTAATGATGATGATGATGATGATGATGATGATGATGATGATGATGATGATGATGAGGATGATGATGATGATGCTGATGATCATGATGATGATGATGATGATGATGATGATGATGACGATGATGATGATGACGATGATGTTGCTGCTGATGATGATGATGCCGATGATGATGATGCTGCTGACGCTGCTGCTGATGATGCTGATGCTGAAGATTCTGATGATGCTGCTGATGATGATGATGATGATGCTGATGCTAATGATGGTGATGATGCTGATGCTGACGACGATGATGATGATGATGATGATGATGATGATGACGATGACGATGCTGCTGCTGATGATGATGATGCCGATGATTATGCTAATGATGATGCTGATGCTGATGATGCTGATGCTGATGGTGATGATGATGCTGATGACGCTGCTGGTGATGATGACACTGATGATGATGACGATGCTGCTGATGCCGGTGATGATGATGATGCTGATGATGCTGCTGATGATGATGATGATGATGATGATGCTGCTGCTGCTGCTGCTGCTGATGATGATGATGATGGTGGTGGTGGTGGTGGTGGTGATGATGATGATGATGATGATGGTGGTGGTGGTGGTGATGATGATGATGATGATGATTTGGAGCAGTAGTTGCACTTTACTTACCGTGTGGAACTCATTACAATAATCAGATAATCAGGCTTGCAAGGAGGGTGTTGGCCAGGAGGGTTGGCCGGGTTATTGGGGTTGGCCGGGGGGGGTGGCCTGGCTTGTTGTTGCAGGGGAAGTGCTAATCGTCGCGAAGGGTATACGAGCTTCCCCATTGGAAGCGATAGGATAGTGCCTTCTGTCTTGAATTTCCCGCGAAGTTCTAGGCACTATCATCCTCCTTCTCTTCGTCCTCCTCCTGCGTCTTCCTATTTGATCGTCGTCCTCCTCTTGTTTACCTTGTCGTCCCTCTTTCCTCCTTCACTCTCTGTGCGTCTGTGGGGGTACGGGGCTTGGACGTGGCAGTTTCAGGCTCTCGCGGTGCGCGGATCTGTTCACGACGACGCCCCAGCTGCTGGGTCAGAGCTTGGGGCACATTTTTCACATTAGTTACACCATGCAGTGGGGTCCAATTGTTGACATCATGTCTTGTCTGAGTCACGCTGGCGTCAACTTGGCCCGCCTCCAGCATCAAGGGCCCGAGCCTCCACGCAGCGGCTGAGACACAGCTGCCTTCCTCTGGGTCCCTCCCCCTCCCAATCCTCCCCTTCCTCCCTGCTGGCCCCCGGACTCGTCATCTTCGAAAGGTGCCCTGGGCGCCATCCCTGGGAAATCCAGGGGGGGCTGGCCGGGGGGTTGTTGAAGGGGGCTGGTTAGGGTTCAGTTAGGGGTTGGTTAGGGGTTGGCCGAGCTCAACTTCCACACTTTCCCCTTTCCTTTTCCTCTCCTCCCCGCACCTGTCCGTCCCCGCGGAGGCAAGTGGATGCGGCGAGGGAGGACGAGGCGGAGGAGGAGGTGGAGGAGGAAGAGGAGGAGGAGAAGGATGAGAGGAAAGGAGAGGACAGGATATGACATGAGACACATTGAGAGCAAATTGTGATGGGGATGCCAATGAGAAGAGTCACATGATGATGGTGATGATGATGCTGATGGTGATGGTGATGATGATGCTGATGCTGCTGCTGCTGATGATGATGATGATGATGATGATGTTGACGATGATGGTGGTGCTGCTGCTGCTGCTGATGATGATGATGATGGTGATGCGGGTGATGATGATGATGCTCCTGCTGATGATCGTGATGGTGATACGGATACTGCTGATGATGATGATGCTGCTGGTGATGATCATGCGGATGACGATAGGAGAAGGAGGAGAAGGAGGATGTGTGGGATGATGGGGAGGAGGAGGAGGAGGAGTAGGAGGAGGAGGATCATGAGGAAGGTGATCATGAGGAGGACCGTGATGCTGATGATGCTGATGATGCGGATGATGATGATGATGATGATGATGATGATGATGATGATGATGATGATGATGATGATGATGATGATGATGATGAAAAGGAGGAGGAGGATGAGGAGGAGGTGGAGTAGGAAAAGTAAGGCGACGACGATGATGCTGATGCTGATGCTGATGATGATGATGATGATGATGATGATGCTGATTTGCTGATGCTGATGCTGATGCTGATGCTGATGATGGTGATGGTGATGGTGATGGTGATGCTGCTGATGCTGCTGCTGCTGATGATGATGATGAGGAGGAGGAGGAGGAGGAGGAGAAGGAGGAGGATCACACGGAGGAGTTGTAGGACGACGAGGACGGAGGCGAATGACGCGGCCTACGAGGAGGGAGAGCGTAGGTATGAAGGATATGGGTTGTTTGAACGTGCCGGCTCGCGCACGGTGCCTTTCGATGCTCCAGCACTGTTTGCAAGGATTTTGCCGAAAGGATCATTCGAAGTGTGCCGGACTGCGTTCTGCGATCATCCTACTGTCAGCGGTGCTGCCAGGATGCCAGGAAGCCTCCTTCGAGGGTGCGGGCTCGCTTCCAGCGCACAGAATGCAGTGCAAACGTCTTTCTTTTGATGGGCCACCTGCTACAGGTTCCAGTGCCTTCCCACCCGTGTCATTCCAGTGCCATTCCCGTGAGGTTCGTGGACGTGCTTGTTTGTTCCCACTGCGCTTCGCAGTGACAGCATTGCTGCCAGAACGCGCACGCCAAGCGTGCTGGCTCGCAGGAGCCGCGCGTCGAATTACCACCGTTGCCAGCCGGAAGCTCACTCCGAGCGCGCCGTCTTGGTTATGGTGCATTTCGTATGGCCCGATCAGCTCACTGCAGGAGTGCCCGCTCGCACTCGATGTGCGTCACGCTGCCAGCGCGGATGCCAGGATGCGCGCTCCGATCGCGCGGGTTCGCGGGCACCGCGCATCGCATGGCCAGCGCTGTTGGCAGGAAGCCTTTTCCGAGCGAGCCGGCGCTCGCTTACGGCGCACATCGCTTGACCAGCATGTATGCCAAGAGGTTCACTCCATGCGTGCCCGCTCGCACGCGATGGTCGTCGCGCTGCCCGCCTTGCTGCCAGGAACCTCGGTCCGAGCGTGCCCAGTCGCTTCCAGCCTGCCTTAGGTTGCTTGGAAGGGTACGCCGGGTTTTGCCAGGGGGTTGGCGAGGGTAATTGTTACATAATTCTTTACGCTTCGCGTATCCCCACCAGCCCATCTCACAGCAGCAACTCTCGCGAAGCATGCCGACAGTCGTGTTTTTCAGGCGTGTGTCCGCTGGGCCCCGCATATCTCCCCTGTTCCTCCTTCCTCCCGCCTCCTTGTACATCCTCCTTGTGGGGGGAGCGGGAGAAGGACGAGGCGAAGGAGGAGGGAGAGAAAGCGCTCCTCGTGGTTTGAGTCGTTTGGGGTTTCTCGTCCTGGTCTGAGTCGTTCGGGCCCTTCTTCCTGGTGTGAGTCGTTCGGGCTCTTCGTGGTGTGAGTCGTTCGGGCTCTTCGTCCTGGTGTGAGTCGTTCGGGCTTCTCGTGGTGTGAGTTGTTCGGGCCCGTCGTCCTGGTGTGAGTCGTTCGGGCCCCTCCTCCTGGTGTGACTCGTTCGGGCTCCTCGTGGTGTGAGTCGTTCGGGGCCCGCGTCGTGGTGTGAGTCGTTCGGGCTCCTCGTGGTGTGAGTCGTTCGGGCGCCTCGTCCTGGTGTGAGTCGTTCGGGCCCCTCCTTGTGGTGTGAGTCGTTCGGCCTCTTCGTGGTGTGAGTCGTTCGGGCCCCTCGTCCTGATGTGAGTCGTTCGGGCTCCTCGTGGGGCCCCTTGGGGGCCTCTTGGAGCCTCGTGTGGCCTCTTGGGGGCCTCTTGGGGGCCTCTTGGGGGCCTCTTGGGGGCCTCTTGGGGCGTCGTGGGCCTCTTGGGGACCTCTTGGGGGCCTCTTGGGGGCCTCTTGGGGCCTCGTGGGGCCTCTTGGGGGCCTCTTGGGGTCCTCTTGGGAGCCTCTTCGGGCCGCTTGGGGGCCTCTGGGGGGCCTCTTGGAGGCCTCTTGGGAGCCTCCTGGGGGCCTCTTGGGGCCTCTTGGGGGCTTCTTGCGACTTCCTCAGAAGCGCAAATGAGCGCTACCCCCTGAGAAGGACAAAATGAGCCCAAAACCTTCGTAACATCAATGATTTTGAGAACACGGAAGAGGAGCGCTGCCCCCTCAGAAGGCCAAAATGGGGCCAAAACTGTAGTAAAACCAATGATTTTGGCTTCACAGAA